CTTTTCCATGGCAAGAGTCCATCTTTCAATCAAGCCCATGGAATGCCACCGCAGCCACGGGTTATTCATGTCTGCAGACCAGAGAACTGTCTGTAATTACACGATGGCTAGTGGAGAATTATCTACCACACTCTTTGAAACGGGGAGACTCTTTCCTGGAAATTCCTTGACCTACACTAACCAGCAGAGAAACTGATGGGACCCAGTGGAGCAAACCAGGGTTTGGGAACTTGACCATAGGTTACATTGGCTTCTAGGAGAAGATGATGTTCCTACAATGTGGTCTGGGCTCTTTAAGAAGGGGAAAAAAAAATTACACAGGACCTCCCCCCCTCCCAAAAAAGACACAGCAACACAAACTGTCCAAAAATGCCAGGAATGTAAGTTTTGCCAACCAAATAAATAAAATGAAGGCTATTTTATAATAACGAAACATGATGCATTTCTCAATCGTGCATCATGGAAAAAACGAGTTCTCAATCAACCCTGAAAATGTCCCCCTCATCCACACACTCAGTGGACTTCCTGCTCTGAGGTAACAATGTCAGTCTGTATTGCCCAAGATAACTGACCAACCCCTGGCCTGTCAGCCCTCAAGATACTCAAAATTATCTGCTCACCACGCTTGCTTTCTGGAGCAAGCATGAATCTTGGTTGGCACAAGGTCTCAGTGAAGCAAGCAAGTCTTAAGTTTCTCCTCTGTGCACTCTCAAACAATAGTTTGGGGCAGTGCATGTGATGTAGCCACAATACCTCCCTATCAAACCTTTCAAGGGTGCCACCGAAAGTCCTGTTATTGATCAGGGTCATCTTTATTGATATGCCTTTGAATGAACTCTTCAGCAGAATCCATGACAGTGCTGTGTTAAGATTTTGCACAAATTCATGTGTTCACATTGAGTAATATTACACTTGCACAAACTAGAATACAGAGATGTTAAGTAATTTACCCCAAGTCAACACAGTAACTAAGTGATCACCTGGTCTGGCTCTAGAGTCCCTGCTCTGAACCACAGGAGTCTTTCTTTTGTCACAAACAGAGCATGGTCAGTGGGGATCAGGGCACACAGTGAGCAAGTAATCCTTACATGCCTGGCAGCTCAATCCTTTCATGTCTACACTGAGAAAGGAAAAAGGTTTGTCCCCTCACTAAGGACAATAAAGATCTCCATTGGAAGAACCAACTCGGCTAGGGTGTGATGGGGTTTAGGGATGGATGGCCCTTTTAGTCTCATTAATGGACACAAGTCCAGAATTAGAACTTAGAGCGCTGATTCATATCGCCCAGAAGGTAGAATGGAATGGGGAAGGAGAGAAAAATGAAGTGGCTTGGGAATGTGTTTGCTTTGGCACCCAGCCTTGGTAGTCTCAGCCCCTTCTCAGCCAACTCCACACCAAGGAAAAAACCAGAAACTACTCAATGACCATGTTAGGTTTGAGCCTATTTAAGATCAGACACAGTACAATCAGATAGAATAATATTCTACTTCACACTTACATGGGAAATTCAATGTCAAGGTTATTTCACAGTGTATGATAATTTGGTATGTAATACTGTCAAAAATCCTCTATGATGGCAATAAAGAATAACAGTGAATAAAGAATCAGGCACACAGGGCATATGCCTATAATCCTACTTATTCCTTATTTTGGCAGCTGAGATCTGAGGGTTGAGTTTTGGAATCAGCCTGGACAGGAAAATCTGTGAGACTCTTATCTCCACTTAACCACCAAAAGGCTAGAAAGGGAGCTGTAGTTCAAGTAGTAGAGGGATATTATCCTTCAACGTAAAAGCTAAAATACAGCACAGCCCTGGAGTTCAAATCCTAGTACCAGTACAAAAGAAAAAAATGAATACTAAAGGCTCATGAGCATGTCTCAGCCACATAGGTGGGCAAATATTCTAGGCCTATTGACTCCTGTTTGGACTCTACTTCCTTACTGCTTCTCTTTGACCAAACTGGGAAAGATGGGGAGGAGAAAGGAAATTCTATTTTAATCGCTGAAGCCAGCTAACACTCCCACAACCGTAGTCTCCACACAAGAAACCAGGCAACCCAAAGAAGTCATTGTGATGACTATTTAATTCACAGCTGTGGACACACAAAGCCACACTGTGAGCAGTTAAACTTTAAACGCATGTCCTCTACGGTCTGCTGGCAAATTTCTATTCAGACAAAGTCTTGTCCTTCCCCTGGTAAAAAACCAGGCAGCCCCGGCCAAGGGCTCTTCCATCTTTGCACCTGTAAGAGTAAATACTAACTGAAGTTTCTAGGCGGAGCTATCAAAGGCAACTTGCAACGTTGCTCATGACAATAGGTACTGAGAAGTTAGAAACTCATTTGACTTTACCCACTGGCTTTCTGTACATTGTCACTTAAGTTACTTACCTTTTCTTTACCCTTGTGTTCCCTTTCTGAGACATGCGTATATTATTTACATAGAAGCAACTGAAGTCCAAAAAAATAGCTAAAAGTCCGTTATTATGTTCTATATGTATTTTCAGGTTTCACTCTTTATTCGCTTACCCTGAAAATGCTAGAAATAAAGCTGCGGGACAATAAATGGCCAAAGACTGCCTGACTTCTTTGACAAGTTGAAATGCTGTTGGATCGAAAATTACTTACAAAACTGGACTGGCGGCTTGGAAACCTTTTTTGAACAACAACAACAAAAGCCATTATAAAGACACATATCATAGCCAGTTCTGGTGGCCCATGCTTGTAATCCCAGCTACTCAAGAGGCTGAGATCTGAGGGTTACAGTTTGAAGCCAGAGCCAGCTAGAAAGACTGTGACACTTTTGTCTCCGATTAACCACCAAACTCCAGAATCGGATCTGTGGCTCAAGTAGTAGAGAGCCAACCTTGAACAACAACAACAAAAATCTAAGGGAAAATACCCAGGACTGGAATTTAAGTCCCAATACTGGCAAAGAAAGAAAGAAAGAAGAGAAGGAAGGAGAGACAAAGAGAGAAAGAGAGAGAAAGAGAAAGAAAGGAAGAAAAGGGGAAAAAGAAAGGAAGGAAGAAAGGAAGAGAGAGAGAAGAAAGAGAGAGAGAAGAGGGAAGGAAGGAAAGAAAGAAGGAAGAGAAGGAAAGAAAGAGGAGAGAGAAAGAGATAAAGAGAGAGAAAGAAAAAGGGAGAGAAAGAAAGAGAAAGAAAGAAAGAAAAGGGAAAAAAGAAGGGAAGGAAAGAAGGAAGAAAGAAAGGAAGGAAGGAAGAAAGGAAGGGAAGGAAGGAAGGAAGATGCATACTATAGTTGATGTGGACAGTAGCATTAGGCCTTACCATCTTCATCCCATCCCATTTTATAGATAGGAAAGCTAAAGAAACTGACTTGCCCAGGGCTTATTTTTATCCGTAACTGAAGTAACAGCCCCATATACTTTAAATCTCTAATATTTAATATTAAATTACCAGAAGAACATGCTTCAGCTGTTTGCTGTGATCGAAAGCATGTGTTGCCAGGGGCTCTATTCAGTGCCAGCAAGAAATATCCATGGTAGGTATGTGAACTGACATATCTACATGATATTTCCCAGATGACCGACTCTGTCTCTTCCCCATAAACACACATAACAACACATGTAAACAAGCCATTTTTAAAGAAAGAGTCTATTAGTTAAGTTTAGATCTTCGCTGTGAACGATCCTTTCACTCCTCCTCGGTATGGTATAGATCAATTGTGACACACAGAACCTCTTCTGGCTCCCTGGAACCCCCAAATGCAACCTTCACAGCAGCTCTCCCCTGCCTGAAATCTTGGCTGGGGGCCTCAGCTGGCCATGCTCATGTGGTGACAAGAAACTAGTCCAGCCTTCTTTTGCAGAGCAACCCAGGGGTTTCAATACTAGGAAACTGGCAAGGAGTGGGAAAGACCTTAATGCCTCTATTAACATTTTGGAAGTACCTCACAATGTCAAAGTATCAGCTTGACTTCCATTGGAAGTTTAAGCTAAGAAAGGATTAAGGCAGGCAGCTAATTATGACAGAGGCAAAGGCCAGACAACAGCATCTAAAGTTATTGACAATCAGATACAACAGAGGTGCATGTAACAAATCTCTTCCAGAACTCAGGACTTTTCCCTCTATCTTTTAGATACTTTCACTTCCAAAACCACTCTTTTCTAAGTGTGTGTGTGGGGGGGGGGGGGGGGAGGTGGCAGGGGAAGCAGATTGAATCCCCTCTCAGACTATAGAAGTCCTATGGAGTTGATTCCATCTGCTTAGCACCATAATCTGGGTCTATGATACAATGAAGTTTCTTTCTCTCTCTTTAAGGCAACATTATGAACTAAACACACTCAAGTCATGTCTGGTGTTGGGATGTTTTCCTTCTTCTAGGCTCTTTGGTACCAAAAGGGCTAAACATAGCCAAATTGAAACACGGATCTAATTAGGAACCTGCATGAATACCAGAATAAAAAAGTATAATTTCAGTTCTTTCCCTACAGCCTCATCATCATCAACCCCGCAACGACCCAAGGGAGCTTGGGATGGCAACTTTTATTTGAAAAGGAACTGGAAGGCCAGCCCGTTAGACAGCCCACTTAACTGCACTCCCCCACCCCTCGCCCCGGCCCCGTCCCTCCCATCAGTTCCAATTCTAGAAGCTGCAGAAAGCAAGACATGAAGTTTAAGTGTCAGGTCCTCTTGCTATGATTAAGAAATGAGGGCATCGGAAAGAAGAGATTTTAAAAGGAGGAAGAGGGGGGGAAAAGGGGATGCTAGACATTCTATAAGCTGTTTCCCACCACTCAGCAAAACGCAGCTGTGAAAATAAAATAACTATGCCCCAAACCAAGGGTCCTGGGCCACCAACAGCCCTCCTTGTGGCCTCTCCCTCCCTCCCTCCCTCTGCCACCAGCATCCCTGGGAGAAATGAACTGTCTGGAAAGGGAGCGGTGGAAGGAAAGTGAGGGGACCCCTGGAACTGGGGTGGGGAGGGGAGGGAGGGGGTAGTGGGGGGGGGGGGAACACTTGGCAATCACCACTCACCCGGGGAAGGGAAAAGGTCCAGATCGACTTTTTCCGTCTTGATGATGGTAAGAGTTGGTTTGAGATCGACGGCCGCCTTCATGATCCGGGACGAGTTAGGGGCCAGGCGGGGTGAGCGCAAGTTTGGCGGTTACAGTTGTCGCGGTGGTGGTGGTGGTGGTGGTGCTTTTAATGGGGAGGTGGAAGGGGGGAGGATTCTTAACCAGAGAACGGGGACGGGACGGGGACGGGGAGGCGATGCCGACTTTCTTCCGTAAAACCCCCGGCTGTCCCGCGGGCTGTCCACGCACCGGGCCGGGGCCGTGCGCGCCCGGGCTGTCTCCCGGGAGGCTGACACTTTCCGCGGTCCCTGCTGGCTGGCTGGCTCGCTCGCGGGCGTCCCTCGCCCCCTCGCCCGCCTCTCGCTCGCTCGCTCGCTCCCTCGGCCAGCGCCGGCTGCGGCTCGCTCTACCCCAGCTCCCTGGCTCCCCGGGTCCCCGTTCTCCCTCCCTCCCCGCGCTCGGGCGCTCTCCCCTCCTCTTTAGGGCGTTCCTCCAGTGTGCCCGGGGGGGAGGAGGGCCCCCCCGCCCCCCGAGCCCGTCCGCGCGCTCGGCTCTCCGGGGGCGGTGGGCGTGGCCAGGGGGCGTGGCCTTCCCGAGTGCCCGCGGCCAATCACCGCCCTCAGCCCAAAGCGAAAGGAAGGGCGGGGCGCGCCTGGCCTCCCCGCAGCTGGGCTCGGGAGTGTTGGGGGGGTGGGTAACCCCACCGAGCCTACCCTCCCCTCGCGGCAGACCCGCCCGGAGGGAAGGACCCTGCACCCCGCGCCCGGGCCGCTTCCACTACGCCAGATTCGGGAAAGTCCGTCGGATTCTCCACGCATTCTTGAGGGCTTGGTCACCCGCCGCGCCCCCTCCTCCCAGTAGCAGAATAGTTTTCCCAGTGCGTGTGCATCATTCATTCATTCACAAGGACTGACACACAGGACGTGAGGCACGGGCACCCAGGGGCGTGCGGGCGGGGGTGGGGGGCACGGGCCGACGTCCTCCGAGGGTTTCCGAGTGTCCCGGCGGTGGTGGTGGTTCAGGAACCAGCCTCCCACCCTCGCCAAGGTTTAGCCGAGGCGGAGGCAGCATTGGTGGATGGTTGCATTTGATTGCAACCCGGCTGAGGCTGCCGACGGGAGACCTCCTACATGTAGACCCCCTACATGTAGACCCAAATGCCCCTTGGATTGACGGGGGAGGGGGAAGGGAGTCCAGAGTAGGGAGTCCACATTTGAAGCCTCATCGCAGACTTCCATAAGGTTCTACGGCGAGTTTCTCGTTATTCCGTACCTCTAATTATGTGATCATAGGCTGAGGCTTTGTCTTGCAGGATAACTATTAGATAAAGCTAATAAACCTCCTGCCACCACCTCAAATTACACCCCTCCCCGGCCAGGTCAGCCCAAGCTCTGCTGTGAATCTCTGAAGCCCTTAACCGGAAGGCAAGGAAAGGGGAAGGTGGGGGGGGGGGGACACATTTGGGGACTCCCAACACTTCAAATAACTCAAAATGAATCCCAGTAATGCCCGCATTGCCACAGACACATTGCTTATACCTGGAGACAATTGATCTCAACCAACAAATCAACCAGTGCGTAGATCCATGCCTGTATACAACCACTGAGACCTGAGTTAGATTTTAAAAGATAAAAAATAAATTTTCCTGAACAACCTCAAAGAAAGCTATTTTTAATACTGCTTCCTGCTTTCTGCTACCAGTTGCTTCCAACTGTAGCCCCTGCCTCTGGCAAATTTCAATACACCTGCTTACCTTTATCTAAGCCCAGTTTCCTCTCCTCTGAGCATTAGCCACTTGCAAGCTTCTCACAGCAAATCAGGGAAGGAGTCAAGAATAAATGTAAAGCTCAGGCTTTGGGTCCAACCTCCAGATTACACCCGGTTAGGTTTTTGGTCAGAGACCAGAGGAAAAATATGTATATGTGACAATCTTAAGTTTTTGAAGGAACAAAGACTATTGGGGTCCAGCTGTGTTTCCAGAAGGTATGAGAAAACAATACTGGCCTCCAGATGACAAGAACAGACACTTTGGGTCCTGGGAAAAGCTTAGGGAAACAGCTGATGAATGAATTGTACATTCACACATCCAAGTAAGCTACAGAGTAAAAGGGTCTTGAACTGGGGCCTGTCTTGTTCACAATGACATTGATGGAGAACTGGCTAAGTCAATGGTTGCTTTGGGGAAATTTTTGTTGTTGTTGATGATGTCTCATGAAAAATACTGAAATATTTTATTCCACGTGTAAAAACTTCTCTATTGGAAAATACAGCTCGATTGGAATCACTTGTTTCTCTCTAGCCAGGTCTGCTCTTCCATTTTCTTTTCTAACCTAAACGCTAAAATTCACATGAGACTTTAAAACAGCCCACCATAATTCAACTGTAAACACTTTCCACTCAAGCAAGACAGAGGGAGAGAAATAGATGGGACACTTGTAATCTTTCAACAATGACAAATCAGCCAGCCAATCATCCTATTTTCTAACTCAGTCCTGAAGTTCAGAAGCTCAAAATGTTTGAATGTTCAAAGCAGGAATTTGGTGGATGGAAGAGAGCAATCAGAGCAGAAACAGGACTGCTGAGGAGATTTGTAGGGACCCCACAGACTTCTATATGATACTCATTACAATGTTCATACTATCAAGTTACACCTTGGATCTTGTTGAAACATAGGATGAAAGAACTAAGGAGGCAAAATTAAAATATTTTACATATTTGAGACATTAATAATGCAATAAGAAATTAATATTCAGTCAGGTCTGTCATACTTGATTCATCATTTTTTTGATAAATGCATTTCTTTATTCTGATTAGGACTCACATAGGTTTCTCTACAAGTTCTTAGGAACTTCAAATGACATTTCTATCTGACATCTTAAAAGAAGTAAGTGCCTTGCTGAATGCCTAAGACCTTTGCAGATGGTCATTAAGTGTGTCAAATGAAGGTCTATCAGCTTTTTGGTGACTCAGGTACTGTACAGGGGGTAGGGTGACGTATCTTTGGTTTTGCTTAATGTGCTCTTCTGTTACTATTGCATTAGGGACAAAAACAGATTTGAATTTTCAAACATTCCTTAGACTTCAGTTACATCCTACCAAGTGCTGGAACTTCTTTGACTAAGACATCAAGCTCCACATCAAGTCAAAAAAGGGTTACAGGGTTTGGGGGACAGACTATGAGCTAGGCAAGTAAAATAAGAAGAAAATGGTCACTATTTTATAGGAATTCTTCCAGCACATGAAAAATGTAAAAAGAAAAAAATGCAAATTTTGTTCCTCTATTTTCCTCCCCTCAATTCTACTCAAACTCAACAAAGCTAAAAAGGTAAAAAATATACTTCATTTCAAGCAATCATAAAAAAGCATTTTGTCTGTTCCTCAATCTTGAACTCCAACAGAACAAAATAAAACAAATCTCTGAGTTTTGAGCTAGAATATGCTGCACTGAAGGTAGGTAGGAAAACATTCAGACCACTAACGGCTGATCCAGAGTGAGTTTATGACTCACAGATGTTGATTTACTGGTATAAATGTAAGATTTTTTTTTATGACAGAACTCTCAAGCTCTCGATTTGCAACCTGTTGGAGTTGCATTTGTGGTCTGTTTTTTTTGCTGTTGCTGTTTGTGGGGCTTTTTTTGTTTTTGTTTTTTATGGTTTTTTGGTTTTCTTTCTTTCTTTTTTTTTTTTTGTCCTGAGAAGGTAGAAATCCCTATCATACTCAAAAAGGAAGCTTCACACACTTAAGCTGTTTTGTATCTGTTAAGTTTAGAGAAAAGCACGCTGGGTAAGAAAGGTGCCTGAGGCTATCTCTCTGTAATGTCTATCTTTATCAAACAGCAATAAAATGGAAAAATCAGAGCTAGAAAATAAAAGTTAAAATAACTTTATTAATGAAACTCAAATTCCAAAAGGCCTTAGGTCAGCCTGAGAACCCAGGTCATGGACTGAGAAGATAGTGTTGCTGACTGCAGGCTGCCTCAGTGACCTCACCCAAACCACTTAACCTTTTGGTGTCACAACCTCATCTTGCTTCAGGGAATAAAACCACCCTGGCTCTCCACAGCCTGTAACAGCCGCATTAGCTATTGTTTAGAAGATACAATAAACAATAAGGGATAACAGAGCCACAGTTGGGGGGGGGGGGTAAGGAGGGGGAGAAGACTTGGTGGTCTATTTATTCTGGAAAACTCTTTATAATAAAATAGATCTATGGTAGTGAACACTGTGGGCTCTAGTATAAGATTCAGGCTCCAATTCTAGCTGTACTAATTAATTGGCTGAATTAGCACAGTATGTCATTTAAACAATTCTGAAACTCAGTTCCTCCACATATGAGAAGGGAAAATAATAGCATCTTTGTGTGTGTGTGTGTGTGTGTGTGTGTGTGTGTGTGTGTGTGTGTGTGTGTGTGTGTGATACTGGGGCTTGAACTCAAGGCACTGCAGCCTTGGCTTTTTGCTCAAAAGCCAACACTAACACTTGAGCCATAGCCCAACTTCCGCCTTTTTGACTGGTTAACTAGAGATAAAAGTCTCTTGAATTCATCTGCCTGTGCTGCCTTTGAATCGTAATCCTCAGATCTCAGCCTCCTGAGTAGCTAGGATTACAGGTGTGAGCCACCAGCACCTCACATGACCCACTTTCTAAGACTCTTGACAAGATGAAATGAAATCATACTCACAAAGCATTTAGCACCATGTCTACACCAGAAAAACTTCAACTAAGTCTTTATTTCTGGTTTTAAGATCAGGTAAAATATGTGAGAATTCACCAAAAATCTTTCTTTTAGCTAGGATCCCTTTTTTCCCCCATGGTGCTTGAACTCAGGGCTTGGGCGCTGTCCCTGAGCTCTTTTGCTCAAGGCTAGCACTCTACCACTTTGAGCCACAGCTCCACTTCCAGTTTTCTTGTGATAATCGGAGATAAAAGTTCCCTGGACTTTCCTGCCTGGGCTAACTTTGAACCACCATCCTTAGATCCCAGCCTCCTTACTAGCTAGTTGTGAGCCACCAGCATCTGGCTCTCAATTTAAAAATAAAAAAACAAAACAAAACAAATTCCCTGCTGTTTAAGGTCACAGTTACTGATGACTTTCTGGAGGAAAAAAATTTAGACCTTTGTCATCACTGTCAAACTGTGTAGAAGGCTATTGGTGATGGGCAAGCATAGCCCTTCCAATGCACCAAAGAGAATAACTGAGTCTAAATGAGAGCAAATCACTCTGGCCCAAGGCCACACAACTGAACAAGGCTGCAAGGCAGTGTCAGGATCCCCTAACTACTGTCTCTTCAGAAGAGAAGTCAAGGATGCCTGGCTTAGTCCACTCCAATCACCCTTGCAACACAGAACAGGATCAGATGTATACAGGAGCATGTTAATGCTCAGACTCAGTTTCCAGAAATC